GTGTGTGTGTGTGTGTGTGTGTGTGTGTGTATGTATGTATACATATATATACACACAAACATATACATACATATATCCATATCTATATATAAACACACATACACTTATATGTTTATATAGATATATAGATAGATATTGAATATAATACATAATATATGTACATATACATATATGTATATCATACTTATGCACACAAACATAAGCGATATATATGTGTGTGTGTGTATATGTATGTGTGTGTGTGTGTGTGTATATATATATATATATATATGTGTGTGTGTGTGTGTGTGTGTGTGTGTGTGTGTGTGTGTGTGTGTGTGTGTGTGTGTGTGTGTCTGTGTGTGTGTATGAATACACCATTAACAACTATAAGTGAATGTTTCCGTATCCGTCATCCTGACCTCAACAATGAGTTCAAAAAAAGTATAAGCAGAAGAATTCTCCTCACCTTCTATTGCTCCGGATGGTGATATTATGATAATATTAAGATGGTGATATTAAGTAAAGATGCCGCCTAAAGCAACAGGGGCATAAAAAGGGAAATGTAAATGTTAAATCTCGGCGCGACCTACATTTCCTCTCTGAGAAGTATATAAAGATGTCAGGCCTGAGAACCAGCATCACTTCCTGCTGCTGACACTAGAAGAACATCAACACTGGTAAAATGAAGGCAGTAAGTTATTGTTTCTTAGTAATGCGACTTTATTAATTTAGTAATGTAAACAATGCTGTCCTCACGCAATTGAATGTTCCAGCTGTTCCTGTCCTTGCTGGTGGTTGTGGCTGTGGCTGAGAGACCGTCCCTCTCCTACGACGCCCCTGCACCACACACATCCTCGCCCCTCCAGCAGATCCCCATCATCCGCGACGAGCGAGTCCATCCTGCCGCTGACGGCACCTACAGCTTTGACGTGGAGACTGGGGATGGCATCGTCAGGCACGAGTCTGGTGGTCCAGGTGGCGCCCAGCAAGGCACTGTGAGGTTAGCGCACTCTTTGAAATAATTACTCTTACCTTCGTATGTGCATAGGGTTTATAGTGATAATGATAAAGAAATATATTATCCATATTTGTATGGGTCTATGTTTGTATGTTTATTTAATGCTTTATTACTTTAATGTATAAGGAATTATGGGTATTTTTCAGCTTCACCTTCCCAGATGGTCAAATCTTCAATCTTCAGTTCGTCGCCGATTTAAACGGTTACCAACCTCAGTCGCCCTTCCTGCCCGTCGCCCCTGCCTTCCCCCACCCAATCCCCGCCCACGCCCTCGAGCAGATCGAGCGTGGTCGGCTTGAACTCGAAGCTCGCGCCCGAGAGGAACAACGTCAGTCATCAAGCCAGGGTCAAGCTCCCCTTCTCGCAACTACGGTCAGCCTCAGTAAAGTTATCTCCTACTGAAATCCGACATTTGTTATTGTAATATTCTTTTTCCTTCTGTCACCATGCTACATGTGCGTAGTATAACGATTTGTTATTCATCTGTGACACGACTATTTTGTAAATAAATATAAGGTTTTTACTTGGACTTTTCTTCCTATAAACAAAAAGAAAACAAAAAAGATAACCCCGCATCCAGTTCAGAAACAAAGGGTAAATATACATGAAAACGCAAATGAAACTAGTCTAGTTGCATCATTCTTGTTGGTGTAAAAAAAAATCGCAGATCAATTAGCCTTAATTAGAGACAACAAACAGAGATACACTGCCATGCTTTTATAAACCAAACATTGTTCCAGTGTTTACCAGCCTCGGGCTACCCGGTAAACAATGCAGACACTTATTAATTTTGAGGAGTAGAGGCTAGTATACTACCCATACCATACTGTGTCACATATACAACATACATATACATACATGTATGCATGTATGTATGTATTTGTATGTATGTTTTTATGTGGATGACAGATATAGCTATAACACACTGTTATACACCCTAAGGGCCATTAGCAGCACCAAAACTGTTATCAATCAGTGTCGATCTGCCTGTTTCGAAATTGTATTTAAAGAACAGGTCTTTTGTCCTTTTACAATACTTTTGACATCTTAGTCTCGTTCAAGCAACAGGAATTCCAGAATGACTTCCAAGTTTTTGTCTCATCAGTAGTTTGTACGTAAGCAACAAATCTAAACTAGATGTAAGTATACATAATCATACATAAAACTAACTTCAGAAATGAGAAATAAGTGAGTTCTCATGATGCAAAAGCAGTCCTTTTACTCATTTCCATGAAATGTATAATTTAATCTCGTTCACTTATCATATGCATTCTCTGTAACCCGTAAATTTCCTTTTCATTGCTATTACATGGAAAAATATTAAAGTCTGCAAGAATTATAATTCCTCACAGTCTGTTGTCTTTAGTAAAGGCTGGTAAACTTTTATCATTAGAAAACCGGATACCTTTGTTAGTGAGAATTTAACGAGACAGCTATTATAATATAATTTAATTGCATGTTTTTGTATATTCTTCATTCGTTTATGACCGACATGTTCGTTGTCAGTCTACGTTCCTGTAATGTTATCGTTTTACTCTTGCTTTTATAACGCATTACAGAAACTCAAATACTGCCAAATGAACTTTGTCAAAGTTCGTTTGGCAGTATTTGAGTTTCTTGTTGTTGATATTTTAGCTATTGTAATTCAGTAACTTCGTATGCCCTTTCAGTTACTTAATACATATAGGATATATTCTTTTGGAATTAGGTTTTGTATCTTTTTAGGGATAATATTAAGTCTGATAGATAGAACAGCATGCAAATACAAATCGACATACCACAGGCACCAGTCATGCGGATGATGATAAATGTGAATGTAAAACAAGATTTCGAGTAGCAAGAAGGGCTTGTTGCTTTTCATGGGCGCGATCTCTTCCCTATCCTGTTGCCGCGTGGGTGGCGACTGGTTAGAGGAACGTGGGAGCGATGATGGACAGGAAGGGGGACTGTGGTAACCGTCAACGTCAGCAGCAAACAGAATATCGAGGGCTTGGCCTTTCGTGAAGGGGGAGGTAAGACACGCTATATTTTATTAGTTCACCCCTAGGCTTTGGACTGTAAATATATTACCATAGTGCATCCATGCATATATGATAAATCCTTGCGTAAGAACTAATAATTTGTAAAATGAATTAACCTCGTCGTTCTCTGCTAAGAACTAGCATAACCTTCTTCGTGCCAGTTGATATCAATCTTCGGTCTCGACACACTGAAGAGACTTCAGGGTGTGTTTGATGATAGACAATGATAGATATGCTTTCTATCTGGTGACGTCATAGGAGGTGGGCGTGGCTTAGATTTGAGAAGAAACAATTTCAGATCATTCCATATGCAGTTCTAAGGCAGTTGCTTGAATTTTGTGTTTATTATTTATGATGCGTAAGAGAAGTCAGGGATTGTCCCTGTTCGTGTACTTGCTGAAGTAATCCGAAACGTTTCAGTATCTACTGTGGATGTTTATTACTAGTCTATCTTGATACCGATGTTATACAGATACACAAATACATGCATAGCCATCTATTCATCTTTCATATTCCTATCTGCTGTGTGTGTGTGTGCGTATGTGTGTTTGTGTGTGTGTATGCATGCATGAAAGCGTCTGTTTTTTACGTACATATTTGTAAGCACTTGAAGATGTAGAAATGTATAATAAGTTATAATAATAAGTAATTAAATATATCCTCTTGTAGTTTTACTTTCCAATGTGAAATGTTTCCTCGGTATTATAGTGGTTAGTATCCCCGCCTGTCACGCGGGAGACCGGGGTTCGATTCCCCGCCGGGTAGGAAGCTTTTCCAATCTTAGACGAAGGCTTAAGCTATATTCAGGTTAGTAAACAGAGATCATCTCGTGGAGATCCTGAGTCAGGTAGTAAAAACAAAACCAAAAAAAAAGGTCTTGCCATCAAGGGCTGTTATAGAGTAAAGGTGCTCTTTGTTTTCTAAAGTGAATTACATGTAACTATATAATGAATGTTTGTATTTTTGTTTATTGTAGGCTTTTCTACATAAAATTACCACTGTATTATTCTAAACTATTTGTAAGCAGGGCCATGACAAAAGTACTGAAACTTGTAATAAAACATTATGGATGCGATTCTTACTAGATTCTGGTGCCCCTTCCCCTCACGTCTTGATTTGTCCTTTGCTTCTACCAGTCGTATTTGAGAATAAAGGACAGTTAAGGTTATTAATAACACCTGCATATATCAAATAACTATTTACTAGCTGACATTCATTTCATAATTATTTTCCTTAATTAAGATGTACGTTTTTTTTTTTTTTTAAGAAATATCGAAAATTGAGGAAATGGTTTTCTCGCGACCTACATTTCCTCTCTCACGGGTATATAGAGGCGCCTGGTCTGCGAACCAGCATCACTTCTTGCAGTCTCCAATAGAATTACATCAATCCTATCAACATGAAGGCAGTAGGTCTGTGTATTCTGAGCATTCTGTCTCCATGTCAAACGTCATAAACTATTAGTAAGTAGTAGAATAGTAGGAAGGTCAATAATACTCACATACATGAACGTTCCAGATGATTCTGTCTTTGATGGTGGTTGTGGCTGTGGCTTTTCTACATAAAATTACCACTGTATTATTCTAAACTATTTGTAAGCAGGGTCACGACAAAAGTACTGAAACGTTTGTAATAAAACATTATGGATGCGATTCTTACTAGATTCTGGTGCCCCTTCCCCTCACGTCTTGATTTGTCCTTTGCTTCTACCAGTCGTATTTGAGAATAAAGGACAATTAAGGTTATTTATATCACCTGCATATATCAAATAACTATTTACTAGCTGACATTCATTTCATAATCATTTTCCTTAATTTGGATGTTCGTTTGTTGTTGTTGTTTTAAGAAATATCGAAAATTGATGACCATCTAAAAGTCTTCCCCGTGCATTTACAGACATGTATTATCATCTACACACACATATATATATATAATATAATAGATATAGATAGATATATAGATATAGATATAGATATATATATACGAGTATACTCACTGTTTACACATACTCAGTGTTCAGAGAGAAATGGTTTTCTCGCGACATACATTTCCTCTCTCACGGGTATATAGAGGACGCCTGGTCTGCGAACCAGCATCACTTCTTGCAGTCTCCACTAGAAGTACATCAATCCTATCAACATGAAGGCAGTAAGTCTGTGTATTCTGAGCATTCTGTCTCCATGTCAAACGTCATGAGGTATTAGTAAGTAGTAGTAGAATAGTAGGAAGGTCAATAATACTCACATATATGAACGTTCCAGCTGATTCTGTCCTTGATGGTGGTTGTGGCTGTGGCTGAGAGACTGTCCCTCTCCTACGACCCCTGCACCACACGCATCCTCGCCCTCCAGCAGATCCCCATCATCCGCGACGAGCGAGTCCATCCTGCCGCTGACGGCACCTACAGCTTTGACGTGGAGACTGGGGATGGCATCGTCAGGCACGAGTCTGGCGGTCCAGGTGGCGCCCAGCAGGGAACCGTGAGGTTAGTTCATTCACTCCAAAAAAATTACACTGAAAAAGAAAAATGTGTAAGCCTGCTTCGTATACACAAGGCCTTTAAACGACAATGAATGTAAAAGTCGTCTGTGTGTGTGCGTGTGTGTATATATATATATATATATATATATATATATATATATATATATATATATATATATATAATATATATAACTATGGTTTCCTTTCAGCTTCACCTTCCCAGATGGCCAAGTTTTCGATCTCCAGTCCGTCGCCGATCTTAACGGTTACTAACGTCAGTTGTCCTTCCTGCCCGTCGCCCCTGCTTCTCCCACCCAATCCCGCCCACGCCTCGAGCAGATCGAACGTGGTCGACATGAACTCGAAGCTCGCGCCTGCGAAGAGGAGCGTCAGTCATCAAGCCAAAGACAAGATACACCTGCTCGGCACTATGGCCAACCTCAGTAATGTTTTCCCACTGAACTTTAACATGTTCTAGTTACCTTCTTTTCCTACCCCAATCTTTTTTTCTTTTTTCTTTTTTACTGACCCACTATATGAATGCTATGTAACGTTTTGCTATGCACAGTGTTTTATGTTATAAATAAATGTAAATCAAACTTCTGTTGGTATTTCTAAACAATGTGGTATCCTGGTACATAAACCTATATAAGCAAAAACAAGAAAATTAAACTTTCCTTTTCACATTAGCTTTTGCGTGTCAACGTATGAGGTATGTATAACATTCAAATTTCGATACATGAGACCACAAGACATTACCAGTTGCTCACACCGAACCACCCTAATGAGCGAAATTTAACCACGTCTAAAAGTATTTTTTATTACGAATATTAATAAGGCATTAAATCGGTGATTATATAAAATAATGAATAAAAAACAATTTTCTTACATTGATGAAAAGTAATATAAACAAGGAAGTTACTTTAAGCTATTAAATGTTTCCCTTCATGTGATCCATCTGTTCATTAGATTAACAATAATTAGATTACTTAATCTCGGGCAAAACAGTGTCTTTTTCTGCAGTCACAAAAGTTTCACAGGGATATGTTCTTCGCTAACAAATTGTCTTCCCAGTGTTAGTTTTGTCTGTGAAATAATATATGTTAACACATGCGATTTAATAACAACGATTAAAATAGATTATAAAAAGATACTAACATATTTAAGCTATTAGATTTCCTTAACATTACACTATTCAATGCAGATCGAACTATCAGAAGTTTTAGGTAGGACAAAGGTTTAAAACGGATTTTTTAAGCATCTGGTAAAAGAAATATTTACTTGGAAACGAACTCACCAGTCTCATGTCAATCACAACTGTCCCGTTTTGCTTTACTAGAAATGAAGTAAACTCTACAGTGAATTATGTCAAAGTTGTCGTTCTGATAGTAAAAGGTCTCCCCGGCGGGGAATCGAACCCCGGTCTCCCGCGTGACAGGCGGGGATACTAACCACTATACTACCGAGGAATACGTTTTCAATGTTGGCAGAACTACAATAGGATATAACTAATTCATATCTAAATGTCCTCACGAATCCTAATTAACTATGTCATTTTTAACGGTGGCCGTGCCGTAAATCTGGTTACTTCTTTCCTCTGTTTTTTTTTTTTTTTTTTTTTTTTTTTTTTTAATATGGAAACAGTTCGTTTATCTCTTAGATTAGTAAATTTTTTTTTCTTTTTCATCGAAAAAACTAACAAATCATGTTAAGATCGATTTCTCTTACTAAAATAATCTACGACTTCAATATTCATTTATATATTCTGTTAATATTGGTTACGATCCCTGGCCATTGGAAACTTTCAATTTAGAAGGACTGATTGAAGTGAAATCGTTATAAACACTAAAAAAAAATAAAATAAAATAAAAAAAAAAAAAACAGCTCTGACATTCTGCCCAGATTAGATGATGGGACTTCTCTATATTTCAAAAGTTTTCTAATACATGTAAATATGTAGGTATACATGTATATGTACGTATTTAACATGTTTTTTTC